GAATTTCTTTCCGTTGACAGCAGAAAAACAAAAGAGACATCATGATACAAGTGAATGATATCTTTACCCTGTTGTTCCAGATCTATGTTGAGAAAGTCCAATACGTACGTAGTCTTTGGTATGTAGTTTACTAGGATTGAACTTACGACCAACAACGGTAACATTTGGCCATTGCACCGGTCTCTATCAATGGATGACAATTGAGTGATTTTATCCCGTTGTTCCAGTTCTAGAGTATAGCTGACGGTGTCTGACAGGATGTCAGGGCACAAGATCAACCCCAGTCAGTCCCCCACACCTCTGCACGGCATAGAGAGGGAGGGGCATATCGACGAGGCAGCTGCCAGGGTAAGGGTTTCTACAAACAACACTGCTATACAACCACTACGTATCATGTACAGATAACTTACTCTTGAAGTGTATGTTTAAACATTGCACGTTTAGGTAGAATGGGCATTTATCTGCATCGGAAAACTAAAAAATAGAACCAAGGCTGAAAAGCTTTATTTTACGAGAAAGGTCTCCAATCATGCAGCTTTTGAACTAGGACAAGTGTATGGAAAAGTACAAGAGTGTGATTGCAAAACGTTACTAAAGTTGTAACATTCGTTCTTTTGTTACTGCGCTACGCACTCGGAAAATCGCTACATTCAGGAGTAGTTTTATCAAAAGCGCCACGGAAAACTGATAGTCTACGGTCCGAAACAATGCCACACGGACACTTTCAATAGCAGATGTTTTTCTTGTAAAGTAGAAAGTTTTGTAAAGCTTATGGAAAGACAAACGCACGCCTTTAAGTGTCTACTGTTTGAACTGCTCAGCTAGACTGTTATTTTAGTACTTCACTCGACTCAGACGCCTTTTTGTTAAAGAGAACTTCCAACCAGTAAACAATTTTGTGCCCAATGACGACGTAAAAAAGTTGTTTTGCCATTGTGTGAAGAAGACGGTTGTATAGGTATTTTGCCTTTGATGAATACATACCAACAACAGGTTATGCTGTTAAGGGCCACCTAGGATAGACTTAAATCCAGGTAATGAATTGTGCCCCATGATTGTTTTTGTTGTGTATGAAAAGAGGCTTTTCTTTTAGCGGAAGGCTTTTTACATCCGGGGGGCAATTGCAGCCGCAAAATGGAAAACGTGTACGTGTACTGCAGACCGCTTTGTAGCATGGGACTGGTCAGTTAATGGCCGTTAATGACTTTTTGCTGATTAATCATTTGTAGTGTTGACGTGGGTGACAGGTAGTGTGTATTTGACCTGACATGTTGACGACAACCGTGTGACAAATGTGCACTTCATCACACCGCCCTTTTCTTCTCTAAGCACGCTTACTTTTACTACCACTTTTACCAAAACCACCTGCCTGCATGTTCCTTCACCTTCACTGACTACAAAACATTTCGTCTAAACTAAGAACAGAAGGAGACGTACACTCTAGCCTATAATGTATTATTGGAGCTGATAAGTACGTTGAAAAGTACTTTTGTAAGCAGACGGATCTAGCGAAGCGAAATTCTCTTTAATTAAAAACAGTCCCTCCAGACATTTTGAACCACTATTTTTTGACTACGATGATTAACGATGTGAGCATTTTCTATACCAAATCCGGCATAGCCTTGCACGCAGACCACTTCAGCTACCCGTCCATGTATTTAATGAAACTCAATGAGTCATGAAGTAGGATGAAAAGAGCCTGTCAGTCGGAGGCTGTTAAATCTCCAAGCAGATCTTTCGATGGCTGCAAAGACAGTATCAAATCGGTCAGGCAGTAACCATTGGCTGGCGTAAAGAAATATACCAGTACAAAAAACAAAACCCGATAAAAACACATATAATAATAAAACACGCCAAAACTAAGCCGAAGCCTTAAGCTCTGCCTGGAGAGTGGGGCTACTTACCTGGCTACTGCTGCCCACTGTGTAGCCTGTGTGCCATCCCCTACCGCGAGTGAGCGATAATCCCTCGGCCAGGGAACGCCACACGCCCCGCCGACCCTGATTTGCGCCCTGGCTCTAATTATCTCCTCGCGTCCGGCGTGAAAGATATTGGGTTTGGGGCAGCCTGGGGTTGGGCGGCGGATACAGTAGCGGACATTAGGGCTTCTTTCTACAAAAAAAAATCTATCGCTTTATGAACGCCAGCGTCGTCTGGCACCCAGGCTGCCCACTGTGCTGTTTCCCTGTTGCGCCTCTCTAACGCTTGTCTCCTCTCCTGACGGACTACAGAGGATTTCTGTGGCGAGGCTGTCGATTAATCCGGACGTGGAGCAGAAACTGGAAGAAGTCATGACGGTAAAAAAAAATAATCACAAGACAGCGTAAAGAAGTAGTATATAAACATAGATAAAATTTTTAAATTTTTTTAGTGTTTGGTAGGTATGAGAAGGATCTTTTTCAACAACCATTCATTTTTTTTCTGGAACCATATTCAGGGCATGTAATCTGACACTTAGCTACAGTACGAACCAGAACCAGTCATTGTTGCCCTGAAGAAGGTGGCATATGGTCGGATAAAAAAAAACAACTGGTTGTTGAATAAAGAACCTCCGTAGACAGTCTCTTGCTAATCCGAGGAAGTTAGTCACGGAAATGTTTGGTAGGGGTTTCTAGATCTAGATTCTTTTCCAATGATTGTGTCTGAGTTTTCAACAACACAAATTGAAAGAATTAGACAACCAAGAGCTTATGCGAAATCTACGGCAGGATGTAAAATTGCTACATGTATATGAGTGCACGAGAGACATGCTTCTCCATGTCAGCCAACTAAATGACCTATAAATCAAGCTACCATTGATATTCAAGATCAACATCAAACCACATGGTCTCAAGTATCTGGCGACTTTCTCAATGAAAACTTGGTCATCGATAGCATTAGAGAAACCGAACAAAATCCTTCAACTATGCGGGGTGCTCTCTCTGGCTCTCACTGCCTTTGACCATGGCCCACCCTTAGATACGGGGCACTTCAAATAAAGGTCAGAAATTCACAAAAGGCACTTATCAAAAATTGTTCTACTACTTGACGTTTCATGCTTCGTGAGCAGCCAATTCCATTCTCTACTCTTTAGAGTAAAAGTAGCACCAGAAATGCGTGGTAATTTTGGAGATCAATAGATTCAGACGATCAAAGTAGTAATTTCTAACTGTTCTTTCGCACGGACTAACATTACATGACGAGATGACGGTTTAAAATAAGACGTATTTAAAGAATTAGTCCCATAATTTCCTCCACATACGCTTGACGAATTTCTGCAATGGATCTTTCAACTCCAACACTGACAAGAAATTTAGATACATGTTATTTGAAGTTAACGTTGCCATATTTCACGTTACTTAACTTTGAAAATGTAACATTACAATGAGGAGTTGAAAGCCCCATCCTGACATCCTTTGATATCACCTTTGACATATAATTTAAGGTAGAAGCGATAGTCACAATAGTTGTGTTTGTAGATGTAACTATATCACATGCAAATGTCAATTTCAACATGCTACTTCTTCTATAATTGCCATGTAACTGAAGGCCCTCCTACGGTTACAGTTATTGATGTTTGTTTCATGTTTGAATTTAAACTCCACAGCGTGTTAGAAGGAAAAACTTCGACAAAGATGACAAGGTTAGTAATGAAATAATCTGGTATAAGTTCTATATTTTGTCTATTTCAATTAGGGCCATGTTGATTTGATTATATGGATGACATCCGCGCGCGCATGAATTTTCGGCCATTTCCAAAAAAAAAAAAGTTTTCAACCATACTGTAAATCGTGCAAAACAGTTACTAAATGAGCAAATATATACCATAAGTTGCAAGGAAAATATTTAGAAACGATACCAATGTCGTAGAATGCCAAAATCAAAGGAAAAAAGACAAAAATGTAAAGAAATGAATTCGAAGAGTAGATTATTCGCCATAACATATTCTGTGCCATTTGTTCAACCTTCATGACCACGTAGATTTCATAGTGAAAGCAACTTTTTTTTCTTTGCAAAACTTTTTTTTTTATTCGCACGCGCGCATCAGTTTTGGGGTTCCCAGAGGATGTCATCCATATAATCAAATCAACATGGCCTAGGGTATATCCTGTACATCTATCTACCATGTACATCTAATGCACTGGCCATGTGTTTTGCTAGTCTAGCTCTGCATTGAAGTAAATTAAGACGAGGTTAAATGAAGAAAAAAGGCGCACTGGTAAAGTTTCAAACTGATGAAATCTTCTTTTACGTTCCAGACTCGTTGGGGGTCCTTGAGAAAGCAGTTTCACGAGGTAAATGTGGATCCTGATGATTTTGATAGACATAGAGATTTGTGTTGTGAGATAGAGAAACTTGTGTTATTTAAGATGTTAATGATAATGATCAACGTCGCTTTATGAAAATAATCAGTATTATCATAGGTAGAAATACTGAGGCTAGATATGTAACGATACCTTGTCAAAGTCAAAGGCGCTCTATATCCAAATGTTGGTGATTGCAAAATGAGTAGAATATATATTAGGTCTCATGCTGTAAATGTGTAGTTTCTTGTAGTTTGACCATACATCCCCCTTGGTTTGACGCACTTCTATTTCCAGCATGGTTCTACTGGCTTCCACCCAAAACTCACAGAGGAAAACTCATTTGAGTTGGAACAAGCGGCAAATAACAAGGTACCTTCATAATATCTACATATAGCAAAATGAACTGAACCAAATGAAACAATACTGTTTTTGCATAGAAATCAAAGACATAAGCCTGTGGTAGTTTGAGCAAAAGGGATAATATATGGGCTTGCTATCAGTAGAATATTTTCATTTAACTTTATTATTCTGTTGTTTCTTACGAAAGTTAATCTGTAAATTGCATAGAAAAAGGGCACACTTACTCATTGATACGTTGAGTGCCCTTGAAATCCATCATGGTGGCTGTGTGGCAAACGTGTACCTCATGAATATTCATGAGTCCCTGATTACGTATATCTTTCGCCATGTCAATCATCAGTACCAGTACCACCCAGGCGGGAAGCCGAGGCAAACGTCGCCCAATCACGACGCCGACTCCGGGTACAACGAGGAGCGCGCCAGTCCGCGGTACCACACACCTGACGCACAGGTAAGCTATATGTAAGGTGTCTGATGAAGTTACACCGTCAGGGTACTGGGAACTTAACACTCATATCCTGTAACATAACCCTAGAACTTGTGCCAGAAGCCTGGTTCTCATGTCGTCTCCGACGTCACTTAACTGCTTTTCAATAACAGAGCTTGATGTCTGTGCGCGCGTGTGTTCTTAGGCTAACGCTGTGTATTCTCGTACGTACACCGAAGACTGCTTCTGTGGAATCACGTACTCATCACCATGCGTCTGTGTCATGTTCTTTGTTCATTTGCCTTGTGTCACTCATGAGATCTTTATTGTGTGCCGTGTTTCTTGTCGTCTTAATGCTTACGTGCATTACTGGTATGTTGACTCCATATACACAAATCCTGTCCTCAGTGTCTGCAAAGAAATGTACGTTGTTCCGTTATGATATATGCCACCAGTATGTCATGTTTCTTCACATTGTGTCAACCCCTTCATTCATCAACAATCTCCTGAACAACTGTCATTGTCAACATCATGAACAACATCACTGTCTTGTCATCTAATTAACCATAACCTGTACCTACTAACCACCATCCGTGTGCTGTTAACATGTGTCTGTCTCTGTCTCCGTACTAACAGCCTGTCCCTAAACCTGCCACTCCTGTGAAAAAAGTGAGCCAGCAGTTGTCAAGGAAACTCTTGAACAGCTCCGACGCGGCTCCCTTTTCAGGGGCGAAAAGCCGATCACTGAAAAGCCACATAATGCCTGGCAGGTACCAGACTACAGTATGATACTAGCAAAAACGCTATATTGTAAAACAGTTAAACTACTGCTTTTAGGTGGCAGAACACTAGCCAACGTGCTAGTTACATAGTACGACCGGGAAAACTTTTGATTGAAAAGATGCTAACGTTTCGAAGCTTGGCGATATCAGACAGCAAACGTAGAAAAGTGTTAACGCTGGGAAAGCTTGAAACATCCATGTTCAATTTGGGCATAAGATGTGTGTCGTATCTGTAGGGTTTGCTGGCAAGACATCAGGAGAGAGCAGGCAAGCCTGGCAAGCATGTCACAATCAAAACCGGCAAGGTAAAGACACATTTACAGGTCTTGTACATTGGCTTGGAGTGCAGTGCATTGCACAGTCGGCTTGTAACGCGTTTTATGGAGTTCCTGCTTTTGCATTGTTGATGCTTACATACTAATATTTAATGTACCTGTGATGCTGTGCCTTGCAACTAACACAAACCTATCCCTCTTGCACTATCTTTGTTCTGTTTGGTCTAACCGTGTAGCCCGATGAGGTTGAACCTCCTCCGAGAGCGCCCCGGGAGGCGCACCGCGGTCCGAGCGAACGCCCCCCGGAAAAGCAAACAGACGGCCCGAGCCAGGGCCCGCATCCCGCCCGAAGGTCCCCGCCGTCCGGACGAAGAGCCTCTCCGAACCGCAGACCCAACTCCCCAGGCCGGCGGAGCAGGTCGCCCAACAGGCCGGTTGCCTCTCCAAGGGGTAGAAGGCCGTCGCCAAACCGGCAGCCCGGTTCACCAACAGGACGCCGCCGTTCTCCAAACCGGGCTAGTTCGCCTGGAAGGCGCCGCTCGCCCAATCGGCCCGGCTCGCCCAACCGGCGGCGCTCGCCCAATCGGCCCGGCTCGCCAGCTGGGAGGCGCCGCTCACCCAACCGGCCAAGCGGATCCCCTGATCGCCGACGTCGCTCCCCGAATCGGGCCGGGTCCCCGAGAAGAGGAAACTGGCCCGCTACGCGAAAGCTGGTCGGCTCCCCTCGGGGAGGGCGGCGGTGGCCCTCTCCGTCCCGACAGGCCGACGGTTCGCGCGGACGAAGCCGGTCTCCGAACCTGGCGCCGGGGCCTCCGAGCCAGAGAGCCCGTTCTCCCAACCGCAGGACGGGCTACCCCGACGAGATATACGATTCTGCGGGACAGAGGAGAACCCAACCCGGCCGCGACGAAGGGCTATCGTCAGCCGAGAGACGCCGGCAGTCCATGCCCGAAGGAAAGGTAGATGCTTGTTCAAAGCAAACGTCCAACTTTCCTCATCGGCAGTATATTCACTGATTTCCGAAGTAGATGTTCCACGTTTAACACTTAACATCATGTCATTTATGCAGTACTATTTGTAAGGAATCTGTGCTTCTTCTAATGTTTCCGCTTCTGCTAACCACTAACAATAATATCTCCCATTGCTTTGCGCTCACCAACGCCCAGAACAATGATCACCACGGCCAGGAAGACAATCCCAGAAGACACTCACACGGCAACCACAGACCTCCAGACAAACGGGTAACAACAAGCTGTGCACATAACAGCTATTAAGCATAAGCTGGCTTTTCTTCGATTCTTTCCGATTGCTTTTAGATATTTTCATTTAAAATGCACATTGCAAGTGCTTGCTAAAGCATTGACGCCTGCTTACCCATTATTTTAGAACCCAAACTCAAAGGCGGAGGTTTGGAACGCGGAGCATCCGGACGACAGAATGGTGGTTGTATAATATATTTAGCAGTGTTACGTTCTGGGGTTAAGGTTTTATTGGTGGTAGCTATATAACTTGACACATCTGTATCATAATCCTTTGGGATCGTAACATCTGTATCTGTATCTGTATCTGTATAGCCGGTATAACCGCCTTTCGGCGTAACACACCAGCACATGTGTTGTGTGTATGACAGATACAACTTTCTTTGATTTGGAAAATGGGTATTATCAGAAGTAAACAGTGTCTAGAGCTAACGAAATGATTTTCCTCTTAAAAAAACAGTGGTGTTAGCGATCTAGCTTTAGATTCCCAAGAATGAGGTGATAGTAACAAATACATGGGCATAATATAACATTTCCTGAATGCGAGCTCTTAAGCATGAGGTTTTTAAAGGTGCTGCTATCTCCCACAGGATGACGGCAGACTGATTCGGTCCCCGCCCTCCTCACGGCCCGCGTCCTCGGAAAGACGGATAACTCCCGTGGAAGAAGTCGTACGCATGTTGTTTACGCTTTTAACCCGGTGGTAGCTAGCATAGTCTTGGGAATAAGGTGTTAAGTTTCCTTTTATAACAAGACTGCGTTAACTTAACTTCTGTTTTATCAACAGGCTTGAATCCACTCATTTGGTTCCATAGCCCTTAACATAAGTGATGAAACGCTTGTAAGGTAAACCAGGCATATATAGTTGAGTTCCTAGATATATGACATCTTTAAAATTGAAGATAATCGCCTTTGGTGTTGGTTTCTAGGAGCCAGGTGTCAGCAGCCCAACTGGACTGATAAGCGCTATGAAACCTACCGATGGACGGAGGAGACCGACACCCAATAAGGTTGTAGTATGCCCGACCATAGGCTATGGCTCTTCCCTACAGTATATGTTAAATTGCTGATATTGCTTTAGATTTGCAGCGCAGTGAAGATAAAGATGATGTGATTTGAGAGGGTTTGTTTTCCTGATTTTCCGCAGAAGCCAAGAAAATCTGTTGTTTTTGTAGACCCTATACCAATGGAAGACGTTCAACAAGAAAAGGTCTTAACATTTCAATGATCTTCGCGTAAATTCGCAAGCTCTCTTAGACTGCCGCATAGATAATGTCCCTTGTTTCTGTAATTGTTGCAAAATAGGATAAATACATTTTTAACCCTTCAGACATAAGGACATAAGAGCCATGGAAACTTTGACATACACACTAGCATACCTGTCTACCATCACTAGTGTTCAGCCATTGCCGTAGTATCACTAAAAGACATTGTTACTCACTCGCCACATCCACCACAATTACTGCATATAACCATGAAAATTTGCTAGTAGCATATCTATAAGCATTAAAGGCTTCTTCATAAAATGGGAAACATTCATGTTCTTCATAAATCATCTATTGAAATCAGAGCCCGTCACGTTTCTCGATCGATAACCTTTCTGCATCAAATCCTAGTTTCCAGAACTTGCAATTATATTGGAAACATTTCGCTTGCTTGTAGTTAGGCACTTCTAAAACACTTTGCATAAAACTTCAATGCAGCCCGCATGTAAATTGTGTCTATCTAAAAATCGCCCGGATAGAAATACCACCTGTCAATAACCCACCAATGGTGATTCCATAGGATAACAGGCCGCCTTCTTCAAAAGATTCCATCCAACCAGGGCTGCAACAACCCGCCAAAGACCAAGGCCCGTTTCCGTCTACATCAGCGGCCTTTCTTGGCAATCCAACTGAATACGGGAAGGTGATTAACTCACTGTCTTTCAATTTCCTTTGTCATCTTTGATAATATCTCTAATGCTTTTTACTTCAAAGAACAGTTAATATCTTATATTTGTAATTCTTTTACTCTAAGGGGCAAGGTTAGGCTTGTAGCTAAATGTAAACATTTGCTAAATGTAGTTAGAATTACATATAACAACGAATCCTTAGTTTATTTTCACGATAAACAATAACTGAACTAGCTTTAACAAAACTTTTAAAAAGTAGTTTTGTGAAGAAAAATGTAGGTTCGTAAGTCTAGTTAGTGATCATGATGAGGATATTATAATGTAAGCAGTTTTCTTAACTTAATTTAATTTCTTAACTTAATTCAATCAACGAGTTAATGTTCCATAAGATGTAAATAATGTAAGAAGGGACAGTGTAGCTGATTATGAGAGAGAAAGATGTTATTTTAACTACTCCTGGGTGGCGGTTTTGTAGGAAAATCGTCCAACTTCAGGAAAACAACCTGCTCAACCGCAACCCAACAAACCCTCCCAACCGGTTGACTCAGCCACAGACTCTAATAAGAATGATGCACCTAAACAGGGCCAGGTGATGGATCAACGTTCAAATCGCAATAAATACACTAAACATCTATGCCTATTACCTGTAACACTGCAGTTAAACAGCTTAACCATAGCTAGGTAAACAACAGGTTAACTTGCGGTGCAGTCACATACGTTGTAGATCGTCGTACGGTTTTGATGCCGTAGAATTTTCAGGCAGGATGTGACACAACCAACCACCGACAAGGATCTAAGACAGCTGACTTTTTGCTGGGCACATACACGACTATCACAAGAATGCTCGGTTTCCGATCGCACGACAATCGCACAACGTATGTGACTGGGCCCTAACTATCTAAACTAACCTAACTACCCCCCTCCCCCATTATAGCTACTTAATCAAGTAGGTTAGTTAGGAATTCACGTGAAACATGCATTTACAATACAAAGCATTCCGATAACATGGCAATGATGGTTTTGTAGGAAAACACGCCTCCTAAGGCAAAATCGCCCGTACCTCCGTCGGCGAAATCGCCCGTTCCGCCCAAGGTAAAATCACCGGTTCCTCCACACGCTCCGCAGCTCACCAAAACTCCACAGCCGATCCCGTCAACATCGGGCAGCCAAAATAACCACGCGCCAAGGCCCGGGCAGGTGATGCACAGATATAACTGAATGATTTGATTAACAGATCTTGAAGGACATTTGCGTTGTTTACCGGGCATTGCGGTATGTAGAGAGAGCCGGCAATGCAATGACCATAGCAGATTCCATGCCGACCAGATTCCATGGTCTTGGATGATGACTATCACATATTGGACTAAACATGACATGTTTGACAAGAATTTGTTCACACACATTTGCAGATAACGTAATTTGACAATTAAGGACAGCACTAGTGAAAACTAATGATGTTAACGTTAATAAAGACCTAACATAAGCTCACCCATTTCAGGAGCGACCACCCTCTGTATCCAAACCTCCAGAGATACGAACAACAAGCCCTACCATAAAGGTTGGGACATTTTTTTCGCACGGAAGATTTGAACGTTCTTTTTCAAGTTCTGAGATTTTAAAACACTGTTTCCAAATAAGATATTTGATTGTATATGTTTACAGGTACCTACGGCTGCGTCTCCACCAAAGAAAGAGGTTATAATTTGATCCTTTTACTGTTTTCTGTATTTTTGTGCTTAATAAAATGATCTTTTTCCTAAAGTGTTGTTGAAAACGTTAACAGTTACACGTTCTATCAACAGGAACCAGCTTCTGTGAAAACAGTGGACGAGACTAAAAAGGTTTAGATTTGCCTGTTATGATACGGTGGTGGTGTAGGTTATGGTGTAGGTGGTGGTTTAGTTTTGGTGTAGATAGTGGTTTAGGTTATGGTGTAGGCTATGGTGTAGGTGGTACTTTAGGTTATGGTGTAGGCTATGGTGTAGGTGGTGCTTTAGGTTGTGGTGTAGGCTATGGTGTAAGTGGTGGTTTAGGTTGTGGTGTAGGCTATGGTGTAGGTGGTGGTACATTGAGTAGTAACCATGGTCTGGATCTAAAGATATGGTACCTACAGTTATATGGTAATGCGTGCATGGCAGCACTAGCGCTATTCAGTGTTGCTATTAGGGTGACAGCTTCTGCAGTAGTTCTGTGATGTGTTAGCATAAATGGTGGTGGTATGGTATAAGATAATTTGCAGTGAATTGTTAGTGAATCCCAGTCTAGCCTGCAAGTCTAGTCTGCGCTACATATGTTGTACAATCTTTACGTAAATGTACATGTAACAAAGAAATCAAAATAACCTAAGTTAACGTTTTCGAACATAATTGTATAAAGAGACAAGCCAAACTTGTCTTATACTGAGTTTTAGAAGAACAAAAAGAAGCATACGTTATCATCAATTGTTTGAGATCTGCGTCACTGTTTTCAAGCATCTCATTATGGCCAATGTTTCTACAAATAGGACGGTCCATTCCATGATCTTCAGAAGGACTTAGCTCCTCCTAAAAAGGAAACCTCGACCAGTAACACCAAGGTACCAGAGCTCACGTTACGATAAGAAAATATACATGAGTGAATGATGTATAAAGCTACATTATCTTTTTAACAGAAGTCTCAAGCACTATAAAGGTTGTTGAGTGTTATTTTGATGCATCAATGATTTACCGTTCGTAGCAGTCACAGAGCGCAGCTAGCCAGCGGTTAACACCCGAAACAGCACCCACTTCCGCACAGAAAAATCCCACAATTCCCACACCGGAAGTTACGCAAGCGCAACAGAAAGATGCTAATGCTAAAGCAGCACCCGCTACAGGCCCAGTGAAGGCCAAATCACCCAAACCAAAGTTGCCGCCGCCTCTTCAGGAGAACGGTTCTGTGGTAAGGCCCCATGTCACTCTTAAAAGCATCCAGTCTTCAAACCAAACAGATGCCAGTTCTACGTACACAAACCTAATAGCATCAGCTAATCGATCCACAGCTGTGTAAACTACTGCTTTGCAGATTATCATTGTCGGGATGTTTTAGGCTTTAAACCCCATAATAATTCCAACTGCAAATTGAGAAAAGGGCCAAAAGCATTGGACGCTGGTTTAACTCTAATCTACAATTTAATCTTTGCATTAGCGTTGATCAGTTGAAGAAACATAAAGTAAAAACACAAAATTTGCAAAGTCCAGAACGCTTTTGTAGGTAGGTTTCTGTGTTCCATGTTCATGCTACGAGTATTGAAGACCTGCAATAATATTCTTTAGAAGTTTCTGCACATTCGACCAACAAAAATGCTTTTAAGAGTGACACGAGGACTCAAGACAGCCGCTTTGCCCTAGCGATTAGAATTGGAACATGTCTTTTACTTTTTTCCATTTTCCAAATGTGTCCACCATATTCGAGTCTACGACAGTACGACGTCTCAAGTTTTGAAATCTAACAGAAGATTGGAATTGCTGTGTTCCTATGTCTTATTACAGAATGATAACTATTGTTCTGTTGTGATCTTTTATCTAATCTTTACTCAGTCGAAAAAGAAACCATCCTTCAGTGAGAAAAAGTACCAGACGACAGACGAACCGGTAAAGACTGCGGTAAAAGTTTACTTAAACCATTCGGTTGCCTTTGCACAATTTGTTTTGCTCTTGAATACATCTTGATGATAGCTATTTTAGTGTTCGTGTTACGTCCATGAGCGCACATACATACCCTCGTTTTGTGGCGTTCTGACCAAAAGTAGCAAAACTTCCGTTATTTTGAAAACCTACCGCTAAGCTCCATGGGTATGAAGATTCTTGTTATTACTTCTACAGGAAGTGAAACCACTTGAAAGGAAACTTGAAAGGAAGGATACAGCCCAGGTCCTTAAGGATAAAGACCTCAACATGGTATCCTATCCTCTCATCTTCGTTGCTACGATTCCGTCAGATTCTCATTACTAAGGTTTTCCGTTGTGCCTCAGACTTATCGAAACAATGGGCCAAGCCCCTTTGGCGTTGCCAAAAAGGTAATGATGCAAATGATGTTACAGGATACGGAATTTCTGGATGACCGGAAGGGGAGTGGGAAGACGTTGATCAAGGTGTTCATCTCTACCATGTCTTAAAGAATGTGAAGTATATCCTAAGGAAACAATAAAGTCTACATACAGAAGAAACTAATTTTAGTAGAAATTTTAACAGCTACTATTAAGTAACCATTTAGTAGTACTGCGCGTTGCGATTCTGTACTGATCACTCCATACCTCTTAACATATAGGACCGTCCGGCTAAGAAAAAGGGCGACTGGATGGCGTCTAAGAAAACGGTAACACTTGGTTCACGACAAAGGTGGTAGTTTTAGACCGGTGGTGGTGTATAGTGGTGGTGGATGTTTTTTCTGGTGTTGGTGATATACATTTTGTACTAACTGTACTACTATACATTAGTGGTGATAGGAGTAACATTTCGTATGCTAGCGTAGATACTGTTTTCGTACATTTTGTGCCAAGGTGGTGGATTGTTCTTTATGGTGATGGGTTAAACTAACAGGTTGTACTAAGGGATGAACCAGCGTTATCTTCGTTCTGAAGAGCAGATGAGAAATTTGGCGACGCTCCGCATTTTCAAAAGATGATCCAGATTATAACTACTTTTTGCATGATCCATTCTTTCCAGCAGGGAACCTCGAAACGACACGGGAAAAAGAAGGCGGCGTCTAGAAAGGACGCCCACATACAGGAGCTGAGCGGGACCGAAAAGGCCTGCTACACATGTGCTGGGTATGTCATCATTTGTAATAGTTCCATATTTGCTCAATCTTTATTATCATTTTCTCTCAAATGTCCAACAGTTTTTTTTTTCTCATTGACAATTACTTAGAGGCATACCTTCAAAGAAGAAGTCAAATTTCATAATGACAAGCGTAGTAGTAGTATGAGTTGATTAGACAGATACTTTACACTTTGATACTGTACAAGCAATTAGCCTTCGGGCATGACTTTGCAAATATTTTTTTGTTGTATAAATATTTTTTTCATGGATATGACAAAGGTTTATCATTTGTATCCCCAGCTACTGCATGTGCTGTGCATGTTGTTACCGACTGTTTAAAGACGACGATGATGATGAGGTGTTCAGACGGCGGAAGTGCATCACCGTGTTCCTGGCTATCGCGCTGGCCATCGTGCTGGTCGGACTCATCATAGGACTCTGCATCGGGCTGGGTAAGACTGGCCCAGAGACTATCAATAGAGGAGGAGAACGTTGTATTCTCAGGGCATATATCTCTTAATTCCGGTCGTCTTCATTACAACTAACCGAATGCCCATTACGTTGTACATATCGCGCTCTACCATCAAAACATACCATACTTCACCGTACAACCAATGCAAAAGGCAGCAATGCTATGGGATGTCATTATTGTATCCAGAACCATGCCTATCTAGTTTTATGACTGAATGGGTTAGGGCTAGGCTCGAGCTCAGACCCGATTCTGTGTAGTTTCCGCGTATCCAAGAACGTAAATTTGTCCCCATGTACGGTTCTGGATACGCGTAGCCCACAGTGCATGAGCATGGCTCTTGATGAAGTATGTTTCTGAATACAACAGTCATGACTGGCAAAAGAAAGCCAATGCTTCATATAATTTCTTTTGTCTGATTCGTGTTAAATTTATGCACCTCAGGTGGCTTAGGAGGCCCCGCCCCCACGTCCCCACCCCGGTTCATCCTGGTTCCGCAGAACCTGAACCCCATCGTGGTGAACCCGAACCAGAACCAGCCGGTCTCCGCCGGGACCCCGGCCGGGGGGACGGGCACCGCCGCGGGCACAGCCAACGACAGCGCCACCGCAACGGACGGGGCGACCTCCCCGGGCGGTACCACGGGGTAGCGATAGACCCTGTTTCTTGGTAGTGTGTAAGTCCTCATGTGTTCTCAGTGCCTTCTTATTGATCATACATACCGGCACTGCACGTATTCCCATCTAAAACACACGTTAAAGCTTGCGTAAAGGTACACGCAGGCGAAGAAATGGAACATTTACGTATCCTTTACGGTGATGTTTGTGCAGTGCGGCATGGTAGCTGTAGCTGACCTCAGTATCCAAGTCATTTCTGCAATGGGTAGTGTTTTGTTATGGAGGACATCCACCTGATAACAATATGGGGACTTTTAAACCAAGGAGCAGTGTATATTCTACACCCTTCATTGATACTGTGAAATCCTTTATTAGGAAACTATATATATGTAGATATATATGGTGATGTTTTGTTTTGTTTTGAGTTCCCAAGAAATTGTGCATCTCTTGGTATGTAAAGTTCGATTCATCCTACAGAATACAACTATGTCAAAGTACATTCATGTAATTTAGTTTTCGTTACACCGTTATATCACACAAACCACCTTTATACATATATCCAGTCAAAATATTTCGGAAAATCAGGACGAAATGGCATAAAATCTATATTTGTGGCTGATTTTGTGGAATGGGTTGTACATGTATATATTTTAGGGACTGTCATTTTGTTTGGTTTGTGTACGTGGCATTCATATACACGTACATGGCGGCCGTTTCAAAGTGCCTATATAATTAAACGATTCTGTACCTGTCCAAAAAATCGTTTTCATTGATGCAAAAGCTTTAAAAGACTTCGTACGGGGATAAAATAATCAGTATCATTTTTTGCATCTCAAATGCCGATGTAATATTCATAAATTTCCAATGACTATTTGTCTCATTATATGTTATACCAACAAAGAGTTGTCTTTCGAAAAAAAACTTCATAGGGACTCAATGCGGTTTAGTCGCTGTAAATATATTGTATACGCGTTTATATTGCTTATGTATGGCATTAAAGCCTGACGACGTTATTTCACTATTTCACACGTTTTGTACAGTTTTGACCTGTTGGGGTGTACAATGCCATCTGTGCTTTCATCTGGTTGTTCTGGATATTACATGGTTTGATATTTGTTTGATTTGAACCCTGATGTATTAAACTTGGTGTTTGTGCTCTGAAAGGGACAAGAATTATATTTGATGTGCCTTAAGACCAACTATCTATATTTCATATCTGGTGACGCTTAACAAACTAGGCGTGTAACTGTATGGTAGTCGCAGCAAATGAATAAACATTTCAATTGTATTTGAATCCATTGATCATTATGTTTTTTATCATACATGTACGTTACAAACAAACTTTGTCATTGCAAAAAAAACAAAAAACAATTGGGTTTGAATTTCTGAGCCTCTGCCAGACCTAGCTAGGGTGCTAAAATGATCTACAATGTTGCTCTAGCTTAATACTCAGTCATTTTGTTCTCGATTCTTCTTATTTTTTATGGACGTCTGGTAGATACTATAGATTCTGGTCTGGATTTGCATGGAATGTCCTGGTGTGGTTTACGTAACATGCATGTTGGTGTCGCAAAAATGTGACTGAAAGGTCTGGTGGTTTGACCTATAAAAAAGAAGGACGTCGTCGTAAAGCTATTCAAGTGAGAAGTTCTAGCAGCGGCCCGCACATGAAAGAAAACTGTGATCTTGTAATGACATTGGCGAAGCGCGATCATTTAGCACACAGATCATTACTGCTTTGTGAATAAAACGAAGTAGTTCTTTCTACTTTCGTTGGTTTTTGTGTTGTGATTTGCTGTACAGGATGTAGTAAGGAAGCGAATGTCGTTCCAAATCGGATGAAAGGATTACTAGAACAAAGGCAGTGGTCTCTTGACAACACTGGGTTGGTTTCGTGACTCTCAGGGATTATACTCTACTCAAACGGCATGCCCTTTTGGCGTGAAGTATAAACAGTTGCTAGGAGAGGGCAAAACAGTGATGACCCGTTTTTAACGATCTATAGTTGATGACGTATTCTCTCTATATATACACATAAGCGAATGTTACAAAGCCGTACTTGTAACAACAAGACTAGTATATGTCTGATGCTAGACTTAAGTTGGGGACACCATGAAGGTACATTTGCTGGTAAAAGCTAGACATGGATTGGGACTAACAGTTGTTGTTATTGCTGGAGTGGTTGATGTTTTGAGAAGGACATTTGGAGTGGTTATGAAGACGAACACAAGGACACTCTCAGGATTGGATATACATCGAGCTGTGGTACGTCATCAAGATGGCGTCTAGGGCAATTCCATTCAACTCTGGGGGGTGATAGTAAGCACTGTAACAAAGATACATACATTGATAAAGACTTTCTTTTGTCATTCTGTTGCAGAAACAACGTTGATATTTACAGAAGGTACAATTGGCAAACCGGCTAACACAATGCACTATATATTATCTATCTAAAACATCAAGTAAAACATACACATACAACAAAGTTATGTTCATGGGACTACCATACAATGGAATCGACATCGTATTACATACACAAAAATAACCATGTCATACTTTCATCTCAGTTTTCCATATACCATATAAAGTATAATTTCGATTAACACATGTTAAATATTTAGGAGGCCACATATCAATCAATCAATCAATCAATAGTCCGCGTAGTATTTACAATATCAAGTACATGTATACAAGTAAGTAGTCTACCTCAAAAACGACATACTTGACCAAATAAAACAAATTTCACAAAATACAAGCGTACGGTTGACGATTCATATTCACGAGATATATTCTACTATACCTGTTCTATGTATGCTCGTACCATCAAGTTACGTTGTTTTCGCTAGGCCCAAAAATATTACATGTCATCATGTTACAGGAGCTGCAATATCTTACAATTTTACAACAGCACTGCAGGAGCCTAGGAGCACTATACATATTCACTGTACAAATACCCAAAGCCTTACCTCTATGTTTGGTATTACTTCACAAAATGTACTATATCCAACATTGTTGTACTGAATATCTAACTGGAGTGGGCAATAGAGTATTATGTAAACACTACTTACATCACCATTTTCTAAGTTTGAAAGAAAGCCCAACATGTACAAATGAGCACTGTGAAATCAGTGCCACTGTGTTATAACTTTAGCTTGCTACCTTGATTCTATCACTGTAACGTTACAGACATGTTCACAGAACGTGATAGTGGCTTGTACACATGGCGAGTAGGGACGAAAAGTGTTAGCCAAAGGTTTTCATTCGTCCTTTCGGTTGGGGACGTACTTTCAGCCTAACCCTCAGCTGTCAAACCTCTGCAGGTAAAAGAACCCAGCACACGTATGGAGAGGAGCACGGGTAACCCGGTGTTCTAACGCGAGACTTGGCGAGACTACATTGCACAACCAGCTATGGGAAAAGCGTCACATTTCGCCTCATTCTGAGGATGTACTCTATTTTGATACCAAATACTGGACAGGTGTAATACTTCTATAGTATATAGTCCCCATTAAATGTTATATGGAATGTAGTCGAAGGTTGTTACTTGTGGTATACATCTTTAGCTAATAGTTGTAGAAGACATGTTCTCTGTATTATAAAGACAATACTAAGTATGTGCCTACCTGCTGACATGCCCCACTGTTTTAGTTTAAGAACTGGATACAGCAAAGCACACTTTCGTTTATTCGATGTAGAGTATTAAGATATACAGAAACTGTACATCACAAACTATATATCCTGGGGACCCTAAGCATAGATGTAACAGACAACATAGCACAACATCAAGTATAAGTGTGTGAGAAAAGCTAAAATGGATTGAAATCTGTGGATCCATGGGGCGGAGGTTCGAACCTAGCACGGGCACTATTGTCGGGGTTTTAGTTGTCCCTTCGGATGGTGGCGTAAAGCCAGCGGCCCCGTGACTGAAAAGCTTCATGTGCCAAACCTCTGTACATAACAGTACATAAATGTGCTTGGCTAAAATCGCGAGTCGCAGCGACGACGCATTGCCTTGGCCTGCTGGCCACTTGAAAAAAGCATCTTGCTTTACTCTTTTCTGTATGATGATGTTGAAAAAATGGGATGCTTTCCCATGACTGGGGAGAAAGCGAATCGTTGATTCGTCAGATCAAGTTGCTCTCTCACGTTGCCAGGGATTGGCCAGTTCACCTATCACGTGGTTCGGGGGTGATCGTACGTTGCTCGCTCGGGGTATCAAACGAAGAGTCCCGACCGCCCCCGGAGTCCTCGTCTGAGGCTCGTGACGTCAGCATGGCGATGAGAGGACGTCTTCTGCCCTTCTTCTTGCGGATGTGGCGGTTGTTCATCATCATCGTCTTCAGCTTGTACACCTCCAGTTCTTGGTACACTCTTTTCAGTTCCTCCTATGGGAAATAGAAAGTAATATGGCAAACTCACACATATTGTCGTTAACGTTCTATTGTCATCTTCATGATCATTCATAAGGTTAGGCTATGTCTTCATTGAATTGATACAAATGATATCCGCCATATTGGTGTCCCATTAGTGACAACCCATCAATGATGTGCGATTGCCACCAATATGTCGGCAGAAGCACCAATGACGACGATACGCTTTGGGTCCAGTTGTATAGAAGAACCAACTGTTTGGAATATTACTAACGAGTATAAGGACCATTGTACCAAGATGCTGGACGATGGAAAACAATGTCATGCTCACGTGACTCTAAACAGCCTATCAGAATGTTAGTTACCCTGAGCTCCGATGGGTCTGCAGCCTGCTCGCAGATGGAGCCGTTCGTCTGGGTCCGGGGTATGGCGTTGTCCAGCTCCAGTCCAGGGGCGTAGCTTCTGGCCCGGAACTTCCGAGACCGGAAGTCACGTCTTTGCCTCTCCACCTGGCCAATATGGCGCAGCTATGAGGGACACAAAAGAGCAGGAAAGGCCATAAGTGAAAACAAGGACAAGTTTTACTAAGTATGTTACACAGGCTGTTATAACATCAATACTATGGTAAATAAAAAAAACTGGAAACGTAACATTTGTAAAGCAATGTTACGTTGTTGTGTACTGTTTACCTTCGCGTATGGTCTGCTCTGTCAATTCTTACTAAAAACATCCACATATATGGTGATAGGAGTCTAAATCCCTCCTATTATAAAATTGCAACATTATGTAACCCAACACCAGTTACCATGGTGAGAGACAGTCTGGTTCAGTCAGGTCAGAGGTCACTGTTTGGAGAAGTAGAAGAAGAAGAAACGTAGCATAGCAAAAACAATATGTTTTAATTCGGTAAACATAAATATTGTAGTGACCTTTGGAATGAAGATGATCCCGACCATGACCGTGACGGTCAGCTGGCTGTGCAGGAAGTGGGCTAAGTACGTCACATCCGGGTGGATGATTGGCAGGACCGCATGTCTAGAACGTTAACGTAAAATACTCTCAGGAAGGATTCAATGGGCTGAATGGCACACACACACACACACAAACACACACACACACACACACACACACACACACACACACACACACACACACACACACACACACACACACACACACACACACACACACACACACACACACACACACACACACACACACACACACACTGTTGCAGTGCATGGACTTCACATTGCAATAGA